CATGTAATTCCTGCTGCAGCCGTGGTTCATTACTGCTCCCCTTGCATTGCCGTGGCCTCATCATCCAGGTTGCAAGCTCCTTGACGGCAAAGACCACGTCTTATTCTTGTGTCCCCGTTAAACTCTCATCCTCAGCACAGAGCCAGGTTCATGAGATCAGTTCATTCATGAGGAATGAATAGGTAATTGATGGGGAGCTTCTCAAGCAATTGAGATGGTGATTGAGAGGCAGTATCACCTAGTGGTTACAAACGTGGGCTTTGGAGCCAAGTAGGTGGGGTTCAAATCTCACCTCTGCCACCCACTGGCTGTGCAATCTTGGGCAGGCTACATAACCTCTCTGTGAGACAGAGTGCTACTTTGTAAAATGATCATCATACACTTGTTGATGAACGAATGAATGAATGCATGCCTGCCTCATAGTAAGTGCTCAGTAATGTTCGTAGTTATAGATCAATGAACCTCACAGTTTGGGTGTTTGTGCACCAGTGTTGGTGATGCTTTTTGTGTTTGAGACGTGTGACGATCCAGACCAAACCTCAACTGTCATGTACATTTCAGCAGGGAAAGCGTTGATGGTCCAGGTGCTTGGCAGGCGGAGATGACACTGGGGTTATAAACGCAGCGAGGGGACCACTGAGTGACCGCATCTAGGCTGCCCCAATTCTTTTAAATACCCCTGGTGTTGAGTCAGTTGTTTGGGGCAGCACCTGTGAATGGTGTCTCAGCAGAAATACCTGCATTTTTCATTTAGGAGGCTGTCCTGGGGACAGGAGTCGAATCAAAAGGTTCCCCGTGACTCAAGGGCTCCTCCAGCCCAGATGTTGCTCGGTCTCCCTGGGTCTTCCTCCCCACGGCCACCTGGCCTCCTCCTGCTTGCTTTGATTCAGCCTCTCGCTTTTTCCTCACACGCTGGCGGGCTCCCATCCCAGCTGAGCGCCTCTATTTTTGGTAGTTTTCGTGGATAATTTAGTGGGCGGAAGCTCCCCACCCACCCCCCTCGGAGCATCCCTTCAAAAAGGGAGAGTGCCTGAGAGAAGTAAAAACAGTGGGTGGCTCAGTTCAAAAGGACAAAATATTTCTTGCCCTGGCACCGCGAGAGGAAAGAAATTGTCTGAAGAGCTGAAGAACAGCTAAACGAAGAAGCTGAGAGCTGCAGCCCAGAAGGGCAAATTAGGTGACTCAGCTGTGGCTCCCCCAGCCCTGGCCCTGGGAGTATTAATGTGCTTTAAAAGGGAAAAACGCTTAACTGTGACAAAGAGTGGGCTCTATAAAAATGTGCCGAATGCTGACTGTACCGAGTTCCAGAAGGCGTCCCCCGCTCCGCACAGTGAGCACCTGCGGAGATCGGGCCTCGCCTCAGAGGCCTGCACTTGGGTGGGACCGAGTCTAAAATTATCCCCGATAATGAGTCTGGCAGGGGAGGGCCCAGCAAGCTCGTTTCCTGCCTCAGCGCTGGCCTCCTCGGAGGCCTCAGCTCCCAGCAAGGCTTCTGGGAGGCAGGGGCTGTGGTGCCAAGAACACGGACTTTGTTGCCAAACAGAGTTGGGTTCACATCTGGGCCGGCCACTTCAGCGACTGTGTGAACTTGAACAGGTCTTGTCAGTTCAAGGAACCTCACTTTGCTCATCCACGAATGGGACCCCATCAAGCTTTGGGAGGCCGAAATGCACTTGACCTTACAAACAGCCTGCTTCTGCCCACGATGTGGGTTTGTGTGATAAGGGGAGGACTGGAGGTCAAGGAAGGAGCCCTGATGGCACTTGGCTGCTCACTGAAAGGTCAGCAGTTCGAACCCACCAGCTGTTCTGTGGGAGAAAGACATGGCAGTCTGCTTCCGTAAAGTTTTACCCTTGGAGATCCTATGGGGCAGCTCTACTGTGTCGTACTGGGTCGCTATGAGTCAGAATTGACCTGACAGCAGTGGGGGTTCTGGAGGTCAAGAAAGAGCCCTGGTGGCGTGAATTAGTTAAGCACTCAACTACAAGCCAGAAAGTTGGGGGTTCAAGCCAACTCACAGGCACCTCAGAAGACAGGCCTGGGCATCTACTTCCATAAGGTCAAAGCCTTGAAGACCTCATGGTTGGAAACCTCTGCACACATGGGGCACCACAGGTCCGACAAAGCAACTAACAACAGCAGAGCTCAAGAGCATGGGCTGCAGGTTTAAGCAGTCTGTCACCGTGCAGAGGTGGTTATATACAGATATTTAGCATGCATTATGTGCACTACCGTTGCCAGCACTACCATGTTCAAGTGCATTTAGTCCTTACATCAGCTCCGTGAGGAAGACATTCATAGTGTGCCCATTTTACAGGGTGGGTGAATACCTGGCAGAGGCAGGAATCCAAGTCCAGAGCCCACATTTTACTGCCTTGAGGCTGACTCACCTAGCGCTGTGCCATGGAACTTTCTGCACTGATGGACATGTTCTACTCAGTGCTGTCCGATTCAGTGGCCTTGTTGTTGTTGTTGTTATGTGCCGTTGAGTCGGATCCGACTCATAGCAACCCTTCCTTGGGTTGCCGAGGCAGTATCACTACAGAAGTAGATTGCCCAACCTTCCTTCCGAGGAATGGCCTTAGACACGTGCATCTTCTGAGCACTTGATATGTGGTTCCTGTGACCAAAGAACTGGATTTCACGTTGCCTTTAAGTAAAATCAGTTTAACTTTGAATGGCCACATGTGGCTGGTGGCTACCATATTGGACAGTCAGGCCTAACCCCACCTAGTCTCAGGGTATTATTTTGCAGGGTGGCCATGAGCTTTAGAAGGAATTTGTAGCTGTCCAGAGCTCAGTGTCTAGCACATGGTAGGTGCTAAGTTAGAGGCTACTCTCCCCAGTGACTGTCTCCAGATGGTATGTAGTCTTCCCTGCTGTCTGGCTAGAAGCAAAAGCAAGCAGAAGACCTGACTTTTATTCATTTCTAGGATGGCCAACTCCTCCTGGCTTGTCTGGGCCTTTGCCAGTTTTAAAACTGAAAGTTCCACATCTCTGGAACACCCTTAATCCCAGGCAAACCAGGACGCGTTGCTCTGCTTACGCTTCAAGAACTTGGGGCTGGAGAGTCCTCAGGGTCCAAGGCTTCTCCAAGAGTTTCCATTGAAAAGAGCCCCTTCCTGGTCCTTACAGCCTGTGTGCTCTAAGTATTTGACCAGGGAACCCATTGGCCAGCCATCTCCCTTCTGTGTGCTTTGGTTTTCCCTTTTGGAAAGTGAGGGAGAAGGGTCTTCTGCTGGTGGGGTGGCTACAGAGCATTCAAGGTAAGGTAATGCAGGACTTGGCACATAGTAGGTGGGCAGATAATGGCTGCTGTTCGGGGAACTCTGGGACGTAGTGCCTAAGGCATTTGACTGCTAACCAGAAGGCTGGCAGTTCAAACCCACCAGCCACTCCTCAGAAGGAATAATGGGCAATCTCCTTCTGCAGTGATACCACCTCAGAAACCCAAAGGGTCGCTATGAATTGGATCTGACTTGATGGTAGTGAGTTTGGTATTTTTTGGGGGGAATGGTGTTACTGAGGCAAGCAGAAATTTAATCCTTACATCTCCCCTGGAGACCAGGGGAGTCCCATGAGGGAAGTGGCTGCCTCAGGCCTGGTCCTAGTTGCTCTTTGTGAACCAGCAGGACTGGTCCCATCTGAGAGCCCAGGGAGGCTACTGAGGGCCCTGGTGCCAGCACTGGAGAGGTCCCACAGATGTGGGCCAGCTCCCTCTCAATGCCTCTTTAAGCTCAAGTCTCTGTGTGAGAAAGTGGGGGGGGGGGGCGGGTGATGAATCACCAGGCTTGGTTGCTACCCACAGTTTTATCAGAGCTCACAACAGTATCTGAACTGTCCATTTTCAAAGAGGGCTCTATCTCGGCCAGGATTTCCCACCCTGCTGGCAGGTTAGACGCAAATCTAGTCTAAATCCAGAAAAAAATGCCCGGACACCTCCACCCATCCCCTCTCACTGGCCTGCAGGGTCTGCGGCCTACTGATGCGAACCCCGAACGGCATCACACAGACAGCCTTCTGGAGACCTCCCCAGAGTTCACGACATCCCTTTCCTTTATTTTCCTGTTTATGCAGAACATGTAAACACACGAGTTGCCTGGATTCGGCGTCTCTTTGGCCATTGCAGTATTGCTGGAGTCTCTGAGCATGGCTGGAAACCTTGGATTTTCTAAATGAATCTAAAAATAAACGAAAAAAAAAATCATGGAGTTGGAGAGGTGACACAAGGCACCGTTATTGATTTCTTTTCCTTTCTCCTCCTCCAATTCACCATCCCTGAAAGCAACAATGGGGCAGCTAGAGGCCTGGAGGGATTGGGGGGCAGCCCCTGGGTCAGGGCTCTGGGTTCCTGCAACCTGGGACGCTGGAGTGAAGTCTGGGCAGCTTGTTCTGCGGGGCGCCCGCTTGGAAAACGGGTCAACGGGGAGTCTCGGGCAGGATTTTTGCAAAGGGGCTGTGGGTACCGCTTGCAAGGGGCTGCCAGTGGCTCTGCGCGCTCGCGCGCCCCCGCGCCGGGCCCTCGCTTCGCTCGCTCGCCTAGCTCCCTCTCTCTCCCCGACTTTCTCGCGAACAATCAGGGACTTGTGCTGGCGGCCGAGGGAGCCACGGAGCTGGCTGGCCGCGGAGGAGGCGACGTCATGGATTCCTGAGTGAGAAGTTTGCAGGAAAGCCCTTCGTTTTGGAGATGGATAGGATCCAGCGGTTTCCATGGCGCTGGGTAAACAGGAGGAAACAGTGAGGGAATCCCGTTATTTTACTGCATTGAAAGCCTATAAACACGAGCGCGGGGAAGGAAGTCGCGTTGCCTCTCGAGAAAGCCGAGCGCCGAGCCCCGACCTCGCCGCCGCCGCCGCCGGGAGCCGAGGCGCAGCCCGGCCGCTGGAGGCTCCGGCCCGGGCGCCCGAGCATGCGGGGACGCGGACGGCGCCCCCTGGGCTGCTGAGCCGTGCAAGCGACCCCTCTGCGTCCCAAGCCCGCTGAGCCCCCGTGCCCTCCAGATGCAGAGAGAAGCTGCCTTCCGACCGGGGCTCTGCCATCCCCTGCGCATCATGGGGTCTGTGGACCAAGGTAACCGCCTGCGCTCTGTCTCAGCCTCCTCCTTCTCTGCCTCCAGCCTTCCCTCCGCTCCTTCCCCGGGCAGCGCGGTCGGCTCCGTCCCAGGTCGGGAGTCCCGGGACCGGCCCCTCGTCCGGCTTCCCGGCGCGCGCGCACAGGTAGACAGGCCAGGAGGAGAGGTGCCATCGCCCGGGCCGAGGAGGGAAAATACTGGAAAGCCGGCTTCAGACAACTTTGCGCAATCAAGGAGCCGAGGCGGGATTCCGAGGCCAGGTCCTGGGGAGGATTTTCCCCTCCGCGGGACACGGGAGCGATTCGCGCTACTAACCAGCCGCTGGCTGCTTAACCGTTTCAGCCCTCACTCGGCTTCTGACAGCACATGCCATTCAGCTGTATGATTCTTATCATTTAGCTTTTTTTTTTCCCCGTTTTCATGCTTGGCATTTTACTATATGGGGGCCCTTAAAGACTGTTTGCTTTTTAAGTTACAGCAGCAGATGTTCTGAGGCATTTAAACTATTTTGTTTCTCTTTTTTCTTTTTGGATGTGCTTGATAGTCATTCAGCGCTCCCTTTAAAGACCAATGGAGTAGGCAGCTTGCTTTGGGATCTGTTACAGTCTCGTTTCTGCTGCCTTTTCCCCCTCTTGGATTTAGTCTTGGAATCATACCTCTCGGACCTTCTAGGAGGGGTTCACATCTAAGACTAGGAGACGGAAAAGATCCAGCCGGTCAGGATTGTGGAAGGGTTTCGGCTCTTCACGAGTGAGCTGCTCTTGCAAAAGTGGGGGAACCCGCAAGGCAGGCGATGGATTTTTCAGAGGCTAGCGTGGCGCTCAGAGTGGGGGGCACTGCCAAGAGGATAGGGTTGGAAGAGTTAAGTGAAATAAATACGCGTAGGAGGAGTTAGCCTCCAGTCATAAATTCAGAGTTGAATGTAGGTTTTGTGCTCTGCGTGGCTGATTAAAGTTGGGGGGCGGGAAGAAATGACACTCTCAGTAAATACACGGACGGGCTTTTTAGAAAGCCGGAGTGGGGCCAACGGCTCTGGGTTAGGTGAGTGGCGTGCCCGGCTTGTCCCGCAGACCTCAATGACACATAGCATTAGCTGAGTTGCACTTTTTGAAGCAAGACCCTGCCAACCCTTTGAACGTTTTTAACTGGTACCAGTTTATCCTGTCTTTTGCTAGTGTTCAAGCATATGACATCATGGAAAAAAGAAAAAGGAAAAAAAGAAAAAGAAATTACTAATATTGCATCATCTGTAAAAGTGATGCTCTCAGACGGCGACGGATGTATTAAGGACGTGAATTGGTTTTTACTGTCATACATGCGGAACCAAGCGTTTGATGTTAATAATGGGTGGAGGGGAAGGCAAATGCCAAATCTTGCTATATTCAGAAAGAGAGCTTGGAAGAGAAACCGGGCTTCTGTTTTACTGTGTGATCTGACACAAACCTTGCGTTTTACTGGGGCTGCCCAACTTCTAGCCTAGGTTTATGAATTTGCCGCCCTGTTAAAGTTTCGAAGCGTGTGCACGAGTGTGTGTATGTGTGTTTGTGCATGTATGCTGCTTACCCTCCCCAGCCCGTGCTCATGTGTGCGGGGACTGTGGGCACATGCATGCCAATGTGTGTCTGGCAGACAAGGGCACCACATTGTTCTTGGGGAACCACCCTTGGCATGCCACAGCAACTGGGCACACAGAGTGCCATTCCAGGCACCAAAGACAGCTGGCATGAGATAGGCTGGTCCAAATGCTTCAACTGGGCCCCACAGAGCAGTCTGCTGGAGGAAAGTCTGGTGCCCCTTTAAACTCAAATACCACCACTGTCATTGGACAGACCTGCAGCGTGTGTGCAGATGGGTGGGGTCCTTGAATAGAGAATAGAAATATTTTCATGGTAAGAAAATACTGAACTTGCTAAGTGGTTTTGGGCTGAGGCCCTGGAAGAAACTGAAAGTCTAGGAGAGGTGTGATCGTAGGTCTTATCAGAGGTGGGATGATGGAAAGAATTTCAAGAGTAAATAAACTTAGGATGAGCACAGCTCACTCCCAGACCCAAACTCCTTGCCTTCTGCTTGTGTTAGAATTCTGGCTCTGCCACGTTGCAACTGTGTGGTCTTGGCCAAGTGACTTAACCACTCTGTGCTTCAGTTTCTTCATCTGTAAAATGGGCCAATGACAACGTCTTTCTCATAATGATATTGTTAGATTCATGAGGTAACACATGGAAGGAAAGCACATAAAATGAGCTCTTGCTTATAAATCAGTGCTCAACACACATTAGCTATGAATTCCTGTCACATTGAAAATGCAGAACAATACATACTGATTAAAATTTCTCTGCAAACATTCTTCAATGAGATGAAGCACTTTATGTGTCTCAGGGGGCTTTGTTACTTCCTGGGGCCTCACAATGACACCGGCTGGGTTGAAATATGGCTTGTGAGGCCCAGTTTCCTTAACTGCAACAGGTACAAGGGACATAATAATGACTACTGCAGAGGGTTGTCACATGCATCATGTGAAATCACACATGTTACGTGCTGTGCTTGCCATGCAGTAGCCAGATGCTAAATGCTTTCTTGTCTGACAGTAGAGGACAATGAGGCCCGGATTTGCCCAGCAAGTTAGGACCACAGTGTCTGGCACCCAGTGAGTGCCCAGTTGCTATCGACGATGGTGATAGCAAACATATTTTGCATTGACTCAGAGCCAGGCACAGCTGAGTGCTGGTCAAGTCTTGATCCTTACAGCAGTCATGTTGTAATCATGATCTCCTTCCTGGAGGAGGGGAGTGAGGTACAGACAAGGGCACTAACTGGCCAGGAGTGACCCAGCAGGAAGGCGTGAAGCTGAAATTTGAACCCAGGCTCTTGACCATATGCTCAGCTGCCTTTGAAATGCACTGACATTGTCATGATGGTTTTAATACCATTTGACAGATGAGGAAACTGAGGCAGGGCCAGACCTGGTACGGAGCTCCTTCCTGACAGCACGTTGTTCCTTGATGTCTCTGGGAGGGGAAAGAGAGGGGAAGTAAGGGGGCTGTGAAGGGACAAGCACACTGTTAGAGATGGGAAACTGAGGTAGCAGCTATTTGCCCCTGAGTGGGGGGTGAGGGAGGGAGGGTCCTTGCTTGACTGGTCCAGAGAAAGCAAAGGACAGGTTTCCACTTCCGCTGGAGGAAGAAGCAGCCCCAGGCCAATAGGCGCCTCCAGAGCCAGACCTGTTTTCTGTTCTCATGGCACCAAGAGCCCCTCTAAGGACCTCTCCTCCTGCCGAAGCCTGCCCTGGCCACCCACATGCGCTCTTTCAGCAATCCCTTCATCCTGCAGACCTTACCTCCTGGGCCCTTCACAGAGGACCACTCACCTTCCTAGGTGCTCCACACACTGCCTTCACCGGGCACTAGCCTTCACAGGGACCAGGTCCTTATTCTGTGAGTCTTCACTTCCAGCACGCAAGAGGCTAACTGCCTGAGCACTGAGTCAGAGATTTAAATCACGCCTGCCATCTGCCAGCTGAATGACCTTGTGCAAGTACAGTCACTTTCCTGTGCCTCGGTTTCCCCACATGTAAATAAGCAATGCACCATTACCCAGGCTGGTATATTTAATTAACAACAGGGTATCAACCTATCATAATAGCAGGAGCAGGGTCCTAAGAGACTTTTCCGGTGGGCTAGGCTTTAGCCCCTTATTTGCTGAATTGTAGGGAGAGTCCTGAGCTGTAGGGGGTCCCAGGCAGTAGAGGCCCCCCTTGAGGCAGAGGGGTCAGGAGAACAGTTACTTACAAATCTACGGAGGGTTTCATCTTTTGATAGATAGTATGTCCCTCCAAAGGTCCCATGGTGGCACAAACAATTTGCACTTGACTGCTAACCTGAAGGTTGGTGGTTTGAATCCACCCAGTAGTGCCATGGAAGAAAGGGCTGGCAATCCACCTTGGTAAAGATGACAGCCAAGAAAACGTTCTGGGGCTCAGCTCTGCTCTGTGACACCCGGGGCAGCCATTAGTCTGAATGGACTCATGGGCAGTGGTTTCTTTTTTCTTTTTTTTGCTGCAGGGGATGACGCTCAAAGCACTCATTCATTACACAGTTATTGTCATTATTGTACAGTTTATTAATGCAACAAACATTGACTACAAAGCCAACAAACAAAAACCAGCTACCAAGTGCTTTCTCATTGGACAGCACACACTACCTCTTACCCGGGAGAAGCCCTTTTCTGGAACAGGAACTTGAGAACCTCTGAGTGGTCCAGATTGCGTTGGAGGTCTCCCCCTCATCACAGTACTGTCCCTGACAGTCGTCGTCCAGTGATTTGTCCAGGTGCTCCACCAGGTGTGGGCTCCGGGAACCAGAATCCATGACTGTCTCATTCACAGTGGCCCTGCTGCCTAGAACAGTGCCTGGCACTTAGTAGATGCTCACTCACCATTTCGTTAAATGAATGGATGAATGAGTGAATAAATGAATGATGCACAATAGGCGTGAAGTGACTTGTCAAGGCCACAGAATTAAAACCCAGCATCCCTAACTCATGAAGTGCTATGCCCTCTTTTTGGCTCCTATCTTCTGCCTCCTTTTGACAATGACAATGGTCTTCTCATGTCCACATTTTCCCACTAGGACTAGTGACCTTGGCAGAATTCCTTCTGGACCACCCTGCAGGCACATGCTTTCATGTTGCTGTTGGAATAAATACCAGAACCAGAGTAAATACCAGAACTCCTAGCTCCACCATTTTCTAGCTGTGTGGACGTGAGCAAGTTTCTTAGCCCCTTGTTACCTCCATTTCTTCCTCTGTCCATAAATGAGCCCCTGGATAAAAACCCCAATAGCAACAGCTGCCACCGTCACTATTGAGTGACAGCTGTGCCAGGCACCTTTCTTAGGACTTTCCATGTGCCACCTTGTTAATCGTCACACCAGCCCCACAGCCGTTATCTCCATTTTGCACAGAGAGGTAGAGTCCCTCACCCAAGGTCACATTGCTCATAAGT